GAAGAAAAGAGAGAGAGGAGACTACGTAAGGTATAGATGATCACTTAGAAGATGCAGAGGGAGCCAAATAGAGGGACTCCAAGTTGGATCAATCCACCTGGAAGAGTCCCTCCTGACCTCTAAAGTCTGCTGAATTGAAGCCTGCCACTGATGACTGCATATGATGCCTCTCAGTGACATTCTCCCTTCTGGTCTCCATAACTCATTACTGCACAATCACGATACAAGTTCTCTGGAACTAGGATGATGGCTTTCTGATCCATTAGTATTTCGCCAAACTGCACACAAACACGTTCTGCCTCTAATCATATGGGTAAGCAATGGCTGACAACAGAAAATGACAAAGATCCTGTTTAGCAGAAGCATTACAGTTCATTCTGCAAATGATTTACTGTCATTCAGTTACACAATTAGCTCTTGGTTTTCACTTCTTGGGTATTTGACTTTTTTTTTTTTTTTTTTTTTTGGATGGCAGGCATTAAATGCACAGCCAAAACAGTGAAATTATCATGAAAGCTTTCACCTTTGGACCAAGGAATATCCTAAATTATTTAAAAGCAGCACTTTCTTGAGGTGCCTGGGTGGCTCAGTCTGTTGAGTGTCTGACTTTGGCTCAGGTCATGATCTCATGGCTTGTGAGTTCAAGCCCCATGTCAGGCTCTGTGCTGACAGCTCAGAGCCTGGGGCCTGCTTTGGATTCTGTGTCCCTCTCTCACTCTGCCCCTCCCTGGCTCATGCTCTTTCTCTCTCTTAAGAATAAATAAAACATTAAAAAATTAAAAAAATAAATAAAAATGAAAATAGCACTTTCTTATCAAAGCCCCATAAAAAATTAGAAATTTCAGACAACATGGAATTATTCATCAACAAGAAAGAACACCTATTATGGGGAAAATAGTGAGTAACAGGTCAAATTTATCAAGAGAATCCTAATTTTTAACCTTGGTTTTCTTCTTTCCATGTGTTAAGAAAATACAAATTTGGGATATGGAAACATAGTAACTCAAAAATGTTATTCACCTGGTTAAGACTCCATGCCATAAAGTTACTGACCACAGTTCCAAATGGGCCAAAAGGACTTCCCAAATGTCCCCTTCTTGCAAACCCAGGTGAATAAGCAGAAATATAAGCCTAAGGATGAGAGGATTGCTGTCCTATTCTAAGTAAAAATCCTGCCTATTGCTTTATTTTTAAGCTGTCACTGCCATGTTTAAGTTATAATGGCATTTCATTCATAAGCACATTTTCCTATTATCGGAACTGGCAGGGGGCCTTGACATGTGAATCATCATTTCACTATGTCTATTCCTCACACTGGTATGCAAATTAAACAGAAATACAAGCCAGATGAAATAGAGGGGGGAAATCTGAAGCAATAACTATAAATTGAATTAATTTTTCTAAAATCTACAAAATATATGAAGCAATTAACATTGGTAATAACATATTCTACTTCAGGCACATTTTCCAAAATATTAACTTCAATTTTAAAGGCCAACACTGCTCACACCCTTCTAGCCAAACACTTCACTTCTGTAAAACAGAACTGACAGTTTTAAT